CGCCTGATTCGAGTTGGAGGGAACAAAAGACATGTCAAGAGAAAGATTTCTGGCCACTAGGAACTGGAAAATAAGTTGTGAAATTTGCGTTAGAGCCCTCGAGCGCGGTCCCCATCCCGACCACGAATGGATGGCCTCCATATTGTCGACTTGTGCATCAATCCGGCAATCGCGGATATCTTCAGGAAGGGACTGTAGACCTTTGAGGACGGCTCACATTTCCTTCACGTTTATGTGCTCGCCCCGGATGTCTTCATCCTAGTAATCACCAACCAAAAGCGTCCGGGAGGGAAGATAAATGACCGCTGCCCATCTGAAGGAGGATGCATCCGAGGTAAAGGAAATTGCCACATGACTTTCACTTCTCCATCGAACCACTTTGTCCCAACTATCCAGGAACCTCCAGAACAAAAGCTCCTCTCGCAAAACTGGGGATATCTTTACCTCGCTACCATTAGACGCCCTCGCTATGGACGCTGCCATCTCCCGGATATAAAATTTAGCCCCGGGAAAAGCCAGTGAGAAGGAAATGGATTTCCCCATTAATCTTTGAAGGGACTTCGAGGAAACAGTGGCTTCACGGAGAAGTATCTGTTCCCGCAATTGAGCAAACTTCAACTTCTTGTCTTCGGGTATACAAAAAGCTTGCGCTGCAGAGTCGACAATCATTCCCAAATACTGGATCCGAGTCGCAGGGACCAGAACGCATTTGGCAATACCCAAGAAATAACCCAAACCAACAAGAACTTTGCAAACTATATACAAAGCCACCATCGCAGACCGATAACTGTAATCCGGAGTTCTCCGAGAAATGGGGCGCGACCAAAAACCCTCCGAAGAAAACAACTCCCCATTTAAACGATCGTCAATGTAAAGAGAACATGCCACCCCTAAGTTCCTGAAAAAATTCGTTGGACCCAAGCCAACAGTTTGGTAAACAAAGGGGGAATTCTTGCAACCAAACGGCAGCGTAACACCAACTAGCCACCACCCCTGCCACGCGATGTCGAAATATTGCTGAGACTCAGGGGAAAGCAGAATATGATCATAGCCAGACTTGTCGTCGATCTTGCTCATGTAAGAGTTAGGATACACGAAGCGAGGAACTCCAACGAGCGTGTCAAGAGAGAAAGGGGTATCCCTCATGCACAGATTTAAGAATCGGGCGTCAATGCATAATCTGGGCTTCTGAGGTTCGATTGTCATTGGGAGGACCAAGTGGGGCGGACTTACGTCCCAACCCGACCCTAGACACGGATTGCCCCAGTCTCGATGCGCTGTAATAGTGCCTCCGTAACAAACTGTGAAAACTGTTTACAAGAGTGGTGGTTTTTAAAGGCTCTCGATGGGGGATCGGTGCTATCATAGTTAACGCCCATAAAGGACCCCCGAAACGGCCTCATAAATTCCTTGATATTTACACCCTTTCCTATCCACTCAAGGACATTTTCCGCCTGGTCATAACCCTCCAAAATATCCTTCCAGAGGTCAATGCATGTACGGAGTTCACCAGACTTAAACGAATCAGGATCACGAAAAGACAAATCAGACATCGAAACGGGTGTTTCACCCCGAACAATACTACAAATATCCGACAGGCACTTTTTACTGTTAGTCATTCTCTCTGAACTCGGGTCTCCATCCAAGGATATTCAGCGTATTTCTCTATGTTCAGCCCTCTTCTCCGCTTCCAAAGGCGCAAACTCCAATACCTTTCCCCTTAGACGCTTCACCGTAGGCTAAAAGAAATCATCGAAACGAACGATCAGAAGGGGAAAGTAACCCGCGCCCAGAAAAATTGCACCCGAGTTCAGAGAGAATGACCACTGTAGCCCGAGTAATCGGGCCCAAGGGCATGCCTATAGGCAAAACGCTTGTGGGGTCACCTCTCTAACGTCGAGACAACAGATTCGTAGGAAAATACTAACAGAAACATAGACAACGTGTTAAGTACAAACTCGAACGCTTTATTATCAATGAAACAATATCAAATAACTTCCAGGAAAAGAATATCAGAACAAACGTGAAAATCAGGATCAGCGCCTCTCTCGGCAAAAAACGGGAGATGTGGCCCATCTTTCCACACAGCCAACAACGAGGAGCGGCTGGAGGCCTCATGAGGAAAGTCCCACGCCTTGAATACGGGGTTCCACGCGTCCGTCCCCTGAACAACCCGTGGTAGGCTGAGGCGGGCTCCTTTGTCGCTTTGGCTATAACCTTAGCCACCTCGGCTTCCTCCTTCGTTGCCACTAGCTTAATAAGAATCTGCTGTAGGTTTGGGCTGTTAACCAATGGGCGGCACTGTCTCAGGACTATCTGAAAACGGGTGGCCCTGTCGTCTTTCTTGTCACTCGTAACGTTCACTACCTCCTCGAGAGCGGCAATGGCGGCGTAAGGGTCGAACAAGGCCGCCGGCCGGGCGATGACCATTTGTAGCGAAGACAAAGCCGAGTCCACCACCAAAGAATCAACCTTTCTTTTCCACCCATCCAACTCCTTCTTCAATGTCCCAACTGTTGTAGTCGATTCCTACATACAACAAAAATGGACGCTAATTAGAAACTATTCCTCGATCGAACCCGTCCCCACCACATGGGAACCCCTACAAGCGGCCAAGCGCCACCACGAGGCACCAGGCGACTGCAGTGCCCTCGCACGCGCTTTCTTTCTCGTTACTTAAGTAACCCGCGAGGCCAAACGCGCAAGAGTTCGCGACATGCTCCTCCCACGGTCCTCGACCGGGAACACACCACGGCCCCATGGCATGACAAATCCACGACCCGCTTTCCTTGTCCTTTTATTCCTCTCCCTCTGTCTATTTAACAGGATAAAAGAGTAACAGGAGTCCGCGACTCACGCTCCCTTCATTAGCCCTTGTTTTCTCTTTTTTTTTAGCTCCACGGTCCACGACCAGGTGCCACGTCCCTCGTGCCACCGCGTGGCATAACAGAAGTCCGGGACTTCCTTTCTCCTCCATTCGCCCCTTTTTTTTTTTTTTTTTTTTTTCATTTTCGCACCACGGTCCTCGACCGGGTTCCTCTATTCTCATGCCATCCCGAGGCATAATAGGAGTCTGCGACTTCCTTTCTCCTCCATTCTTCCTTTCCTTTCCTATTTTTTTTTTCATTCTTTCGCACCACGGTCCTTGACCGGGTTCCACCATTCTCATGCCATCCCGAGGCATAACAGGAGTCCGCGACTTCCTTTCTCCTACATTGTTCCTTTTCCTTTTTCCTTTTTTTTTTTTCGGAACCACGGTCCTCGACCGCGTTCCTCTATTCCGATGTCACCCCGTGGCATAACAGGAGTCCACGACTCACACTTTCCCAATCATTGTTTAACTAGAATCTACTTCGACCGGTCCTTCAATGCACGGAGAAAACAACCTCACGTAGATTTAAATGACAAAGATGACAACTACGACGGTGCATTAAATAAATAACATAATTAATCCTTTGACTGGCACTAAGGTGTCAGACGAATAAATTACCAAACACGTGTTTCCAAATAACGGAAAGCCGGCCAGACCGCTTAGAAAAGTCGATGAAAACCAACAATTGGGAAAAAACACAAAAGAGAAGAGATCAAAAAACGCGCCATTCGAAACGAACGACAACTAGAAACCTACAGGAAAGCGGAATTATACGGAAACTGAAAACACTACCTCAAGGTTCTCCGACGACTGCTGTTCCTCCGAGGTCGTGGCATTACTGATATCCTGCGAAGTTGCACCACTCCCGGACGCTTCTGTCTCTGCTGGCAATACAGGTGTCGTTGACGGCGGCGTTTCCCGACGAGAAGAAGTTTCCAGTGGCCGCAACACTTCCTGCACTTCAGCCACAGCGTTCGGTTGGGACGGACGCGTACTGGTCATAGTCGGTGCGAATCCAACCATAGTTAGACAAACTGACAACTATGAATAATCAACACATGCTTATATAGTATGCACGAAGTCTAATGAATATTAATAAGGTATGAATAGTTTGTACGACTTGCTTGCGCAATGCATCAACTTCTCGAAAATTTGCATGCTAACGTTAGCTAGTGTTTAGTTTAGTACCTGTGATTTTTGTGTTCTGAAGCTTGACGAGCTCGACGGGAGGAGTAAACTTGAAGGAGACTCTTCTTTCATCACAGAAAAAAGCTGCAGTAGGCTCTTGTGCAAGCTCCCAACAGGTACTCTGAATTTCATTGTGCTGTTCAAACAAAGACAAGGCTCAGCCAGTGCAAGGCTCAGTCAGTGCATCAAAAAATTACTATGGTTGTTTTTGGAAATCGGCCATTGCGAGTGCAGTTCATGCAAAAAAGCAAAAGCTATTCCAAAAGTCAGGTTTACATGAAGCACTAGCAAAAATGCTATTAAAATTTGCCGCTATGGCCAGTTGGTTGCAATCAGACAGTAGATCAAAGGGCGTGGTCGATCACGTTATCATGCAAGCTCATGCAGCATGAGATTCTTTTAGCAATTTTAAATTTCTATTTTGGTTTATTTCATCATCATTCGCTACTCCTGATTTGATTGTTGGAAAATTTTCCAAGAATTACAACTTTTTTAAAACCAGGCCTTAACTTATTTGAGAAGTAATTCAGTTTGCGCGATTAAAATGAGGGTTTTAGAAAACGTTCTAAAGCGGCTCAACGGAGGCGTACTAGAGGAACCAAAACTTTCCGAAATGTTGACGTCGTAGCAGCTTATACACGACATGTTTAAAAAAGCAAACATGTTTAAACATTTAGCAGGGACGAGTAGTTCTCGATAAGTATTCCTTAACTAGACTACGAGTAGTCCCCCATTTTTCCTCAGGGATAGTAGGGCGAGCAAAACGCGAGCGCGCGTGAAAATCACTCCACGCGTGTCGCCTTTTCTTGTGTGGAGTGATTTTCACGCGCGTTCGCGTTTCGCTCACTTCACTATCCCTGAGGAAAAATGGGGGACTACTCGTAGTCTATTCGTTAACAGGAAACGAAAATTAGTCTAAAATTCGGAAACACGTTATTTCGTCATGTGAAAGGCTTTCGAAACTCACTAATGTGGCTAGGGAATCAGCTCATCAAAGTGGTGTCTTAAAGGCAAGATCATTATACGAAATGAATAATAAATGACATGAAACAAGACCGAATCAATCAGGGTCCACAATGGAGTCGATTTCCATCTTCAATCGGCACCCTTTCCCAAAACAGCTGCTGGTAATCGAGGATGACGATTAACAAAGCGGAGCAAAAAATTAATGACAGTTTACTAAGCAAAACGTAAGATTAAAACTTGGCTTTGCAGCAATTAGTAATTGCAAAAATTCTTTTATAATGACCGTGACGGCTTAAAGAAATTCAGACTTTATTATACTGGTGGACTGTAAAATAAATAAATAAAGCCAAATATTAGCAAGTTTAATGTTTACAGCTTGAAAATTGAAATTTTGGGGTCTGCCGTGAATTTTTAAACGTTATTTTTTATTGCAGATAAAGTGAAGAAGATATAACGCACAAATATAAAAAACCGACTTACCTACTTCAAGTAATCAAGGAATCTAAAACTTATCTTTTTTTTACAAACTTTGTCGTCGTAATCGGTTCTAAAACAAAATCACGACTACAAAACTGAAACAAAGTGCCGCTCTGGTGTAAGATCTATGACAAAGCAGCGGTTGTTAGTAAAGCGCTTGATCCCCACCCTATTCGACGCTTGCCAAGCAGGCTAGTCCATTTCTGAGTTTTCTTAAACCTCTGTATCTATGCAAGGCTAAGGTTGTGTTCTCCTGACGTCAGGCGAACGCAATAATTCCGCTTGGGATTGCCCGCAAGAAAAAATATATTATTAAACATAACAAATCTCTTTCCCATTGCAGTAAAAAACACCTGCTACCTTCGGTATATTAAAAATATTAACATATCATAATTCTGTTGGAAAGTCACTCAAACTGATGCCTTATAATTATAGTTATCCATTATAGTTCAAATTGAAAATGCTTAGACAGAAAAACTAAACAAAACTGACTAAAACGGAAAAAAAATATCACCCATAAAGAAAAACTTTGAAGATCATGACTTCTCATGACTTCTCAGAAAGCTTTCAATACACTTAAATATTGTAGAGGTCATTTTCACTGTCCCGGAACGGTGCTATGTGGGTATATTAATCTGAATATTAATTTGTATGAATGTCTCAGTGGGCATTTATCTTAAGACTGTCAGCTCTTTGTGGCCTTTCAATACAAAAGCTGCCTTCCAATCTGCAGGGCTCTAAAAACTCGCTTAAGTTTTATCGATGTCTGAGTTTTTCAGACTTTATGGGCGCCCTCTGTAGACATCGTTAACTCAATACAAAACGGAAAACAGGGAGTGAGAATGATGATGAATTATTTTAGAATTTCAGGTTTATTTTTGTCTACGCTAATCGGTAATATCGCTAATCCTTAATATCGTCAAGATGGTTAATCGAACTCTTCTCAATTTCCAACAGTAAATCAGAGGATTTAACGTTGAATTAAGAAATAACAAAGTCGAACTGAACAGATCCAAAACAACGGTAATGGTGCTCGATGGACCAAAGATAAGATAGACAATTAAAAAGCAGACATTTGGCAAATAACAAACCAAAAACGGAAGATATACCAATAACGTTCCAACGTGGGCGTTGAGGCAACTCTTTGACTTGAACTGAAACTACTTTCTGTCTTCATTTCTTTTCTGTCAGGGTAAACATGTACATATTGAATATATATCAGCTCCGTTATTATGTAGCTGTCCTTGAGAGAGAGTAGGATTCAGCAAATTCTGTTTTCTGATTGGCCAACAGTAAGCCATCACCTGGAGCTTGGTTAAAAACTGATAGATATGATATCGTTGTAATTATATGACTGTCAATAATTTGGATGAGAAGTCTTGAAGGGTGTTCTAGATATTTCAATATCTACAACATCATGTTTTAACAAAACACAAAAGGTCTTTCCAAGGTTTTTTCTTTGTAACTTTTCATGCGGTCCTATCGAATAAGAGAAAATCCTTCGATAAAGCTGGAAAGAACGTCTTTTAATTAGTAAAATTGTCCAGTTTGAAAGTGATTTCAGTGTTGAAAACTAACGAAGAAATGAATCAACGTCATAAAATTTTACAGTCGCTTGTATGGTGGGTTGGCACAAACTCCCCCCCGCCCCCCTACCACCACCACCGTACAAACGTCTACGAATTTTCGCAACTCTGCGGAGCTATATTTTCGCTCTCTTGTGAGGTAATACTCTCTCTGATACTTGGCAAGTTTACCAATTTCAAGACTCTCTTTTCAGCGGTGTTGACGGATTTTGTGAAACCGATTTTTATCAAAACTTAAATTTACTCGTTGGGTAAAAATGGAGTTAAGACGTGATATCACACAGTGGGGGGGTTGGCAGAAAATTTAATTTCTAAAGTGTGTTTTATGGAGTACGATAGCTTCAGACACATTCTCATTCAATGCTGACACACGGAGGGAGATTTGCAATCGTCTTTTGAAAGAGAAAACATTTATCAAAAGGCTTAAAATTTAATTTATGATATACGAGAAAGTGAAAAAAAAAAATCAAAAGAAAGTCATCGTAGCTTCGGATTTTCTTTTCCAGTTTTTTAGGTTTAAATATAGGACTAATTAACTTACGCAAGAACATTAGTTTTCGGTATAAGTCTAACAGTTTGCAATGATTTTGTTTTTAAATGACCCCCTTCCCCCTAATAACTGAAAAAGGTGGCCCATCGTAGGGGGGATGGGAAACGTAATTTGATCGGTCTTCTATTGTCTTTTTGCTGCACAGACGAGAGCCTCCATTTTTCGATGGGCTTTGCCATAGGCAGCCCAATAAAAAGAAATAATACAACTTGATATCAGGACGACATCTGCTATTTGGAGAATATCTGCAGAACTAAGCATCCCTTTATCTCCTGAACTTGCCGATAAACAGGGAATTGAAGAAGGGAACTTAACATCGATCGAGGTTCAATGTATGTTTTAGCTTGTTTTTTAAACCAGAAATTAAAACAGGTTCCAAACATGATTATGTTTCTTTTGTGAGGCTGGGAATTCTACAAGGATCTGTATTAGGTATATTGCTCTTTAATGTTTATGTTTACGATCTTTTTCCTTTCTCCTCTATAATTATAGTTTCTCTGTGCACATGAAAAACAGCTGTACGTTTCAAATAAGAATTTACCGGGTTCTCAAATTATAACGTTACGTTTTAAAATCCGTCACTGTTCAAAACAACAGATGCTGGTCACGTGCTGGCCTACGCAGTATAACAAGGGACAATCCAGAACTTAAATATTTATGACGCGTATATTTAACAATTATTCTTTGAAATCGAGGTGAATAGTGGCAAAATATTTACCGAGCCGCGAAAGCGGCGAGGTAAATATTCCCAAAGCCACTATTCACCGAGATTGAGAAGAATAATTGTTTTAGTATATACACACGAAGTGATCTCAACAAAATCAGAAAGGAAACCATTCAAAAGTAGGATTTGATTGACAGATCAAATCACGCCTAAGTTTAAAAATAGATCTTTGCAGAATTTTCAAACATGGCAATTCACAAGTTTACTCATTTCGCAAACAACAGCGTAATGGCTTCAATGGAATCGCTAAAAGTTTGAACTGTTTCCTTACCTGAGAAAAAAAGTAGAGCTGTGTTGTTTTCTGTTGACTCGCCAAGTTTATAGCCAAAAAGGGCATGTTGTGTCGTTCTTCGCATGAAGTGCTGACAAAAATGGCGGCTCGGTTGCTCGAGGTAAGAGGTCGTCTTCCTGTATCATTCTTTTTCCTGTTTACTTGAAATGTAGAATTTCTGCAAACATTTCCTTTTAAATTTGTTTGTCATAAATAAACTTCGATTTTTGAGCCAAAATTTTCTTCTTAGAAAACGCTGAGTTCACGAAACGGCTTCTTCTACGCGAATACACGGGAGTTGTAAACAATCCATCGAGCACAAAACTCCTGCTACAGTAAATTGAAAAACGCCGTATTGAATCCTTCCAAGTCTTTTCTTGCCTTAAAAAAAGTCAGCCCTAGGATTTTGTCGACTTTTAAAAGATCGTTCTCTAAAAAAAACGGGAAAAACACCGAGCTCACACATTATCCACTCGCTAGGAGGTGAATATTGTTGAATAGTCCGAGATAGCGAACCAATCAGATTGCTTAAATCACCAAGATCACTGAGTGTGTATATACTAATTAATATTATTCAATAACATTAGAAAATTGTTTCTTATAGTTTACATTTTATTCACTAGGAAAATTAGCTGATTGATCCACGAACGCTGAAACAGAAAAACGTTCTGTAACCTCGTGTTGAAATATAGTTTACGTAGTTCTTTGCTGTAAGGATCACTGAGTTCGATTTGTTTTTCTTTTTAATTTAAACTTTTGAACTTCTCGTCTCCATGGAGTCGCTGTCGATCGTTCGGTGTGGAGTGGTGTTTTCTTGGAGAAGCGAGGAAGAGCAAAATAAAGGGAAGTTTAGCCTGTGCCAGGCTCTCAGATAGTATAGTGCGGACGTGAAACGAGCAAAGCGAAAATAAGACGCGCGCGACTTGGCAAAGGGGGCGATGGTCTCTCCCCAGCCCCCGCGCGTTTTCTTATTTTTGAACGACTTTTCACTTTCACCACTATCTCGGAGCCTTGAACAGGCTAAGGGAAGTTTAGCTGGTGTTACAAATTTTTGATAGCTTTTCATAAAACTACGCTTATACGAGAGTCAGGCGCTACCTAACATAAAACAAAACACAACTTGATTAAGTCGATAGAATTTTGAAATTTGAGCAGGCTACAATCATGACGCGTCGTGACTACTTTTACTTTTAGATTAAAAGATGTAGACCCTTGAAGACGTATTACTGAATTCGCGAAATAATTGACAGTCAAAATTGCATCTATACTAATTAAGATTGTTTGGCCTAGTTACGAAATTTTGACTGAGTGTGCGATCACCTTGGCCATTCAGAACACAGGTTCGTATGTTCACTCGGGTTGTAATTTATTCAAGGCAGGAAACAGAGTCCAAAAACACCTGCGCCACATCTGTGGCCTTTTGGTATTTCAATCAAGTCTCTCACATGCATCTTTCAACACAGAACTGTGAGTAGAATTCGGCGACCTTGAAACTTTTCCTTTCCTGTACCGTTCTTTAACGTCTGCAATCATGGAAAACCATGAAGACATTACTTCATCATATATCACCACTTGTGTTTTGAACGCTTTCTTATCATACGCTGCTGTAATGTTAAACTGTTTGACGATCTACGCCTTAACAAAACTCTCATCATTACCAAGACCTTTAAAAACGCTGCTCTTAAGTCTGGCTGTTTCTGATCTGGGTGTTGGTTTGATGGTGCAGCCTTCGTACATTGCGACTCTTGTCATGGAAATGGAGCAAAAAACTGAAAACAATCCAGCCTATAACATAGTCTTCAAATTCTACGCCTTCACGGTGAATTTGTTTGGTTATGCGTCTTTCTTTGGAGTGACTTTTTTAAGTTTAGATGGATTCATCGCTGTGTGCTTATTTCTCAGATACCAAGAACTTGTGACCCACAAACGTGTTGTCGCTGTAATGGTTTCAAAGTGGGTTTGCAGCGCGGTTTTATCGTTTCTGAGACTGTGGATCCCGACACGAATTTCTTTTATTATTTACGCCATTATTTTTCTCTCTCTTCTCTTGACTACAGCGCCACTTAATGTCAAGATTTTTGTTGCTTTACGTCGACACGCGAACCAAATTCAAGCTTTACAAGTTCAACCAACAGCTCAGAGCAGCGATGCTAACAGGAGAGACGCTTCAGGTTGGAGAAAATTTGCAGTGGGAACATTATTGGTATATCTTGCGTTTTTAGTTTGTTATTTGCCAAATTTCTGTTTTTTAATCGTCTATCTTATCTCTGGGCCTGCAAGCTCCAATACCGTTATTTTGGACCTTTTCAGTTCGACTCTGTTATTTCTTAATTCAACCTTGAATCCTTTGATATACTGTTGGAAAATGAGACGAATTCGATTAACCATCTTGACGATATTACGGAACATGTTGCTAAGGCTGACAGAGAATTAGCGTAGAGAAAAATAATACTGAACTTTAAAATTCAAAGACAGATTTTCTCTTCCATTTTCAGTATTATAAGTTAACAGAGTTGGCAGTCTGAAAAAACTACAAAGCAATACATAAATACAACTTAAGCAAGTTCATGTGCCCCGACAGCAACCATGCAACTGTTGCCATGAAGGACCAAAAAAAAACTGTACTCCTTTAACATAATTGCATGTTCGAATGTATGCGCATAAAACTACAAAGACACACAGCACTTCCCGGGAAAATAAATACGACTACACGTGGTGCCGACTGAACACCTTTTCAAATGCCCATGAGAAAAACAGAAATTCAGAATTTTCCTAGAACTACCTTGTATCTGTAGCTACTATTTTTCGTTTTAGTCAGTTAAGGTTTCACTCTATTACCATTTTTAATTTTAACAATAATGGACAAATATCATCACAGGGCAAGTTAGAGCTTCTGAGACTTCTCGCCGGACAGCACTTGTCAGTCGAATGCTAATATTTGTACCATACCAAGTATAAATGGCCCAATGTAGAAAACAGGTGTTTAAATGGTAATAAAAAGGAATAAGTAGAGATATATGTTACTTGCCGCCAGGCCGACTGTCATAGGATGCCTAATTAATAGTAGTTACTTCTTTTATGCTATTTTTTTTGGGTTTAAGTATTTTTTTGCTGTAGGACGCTATTGCGTAACTTTTATCGTTGTAGTTGGTACTTCAGTGTTCGTTATAAAAGTAATTAATTGGGTGAAATATTCATTGTAAGCCGTTAAATTGGTTGTAAGCATTTAGTTACTAGATCAGACCTTTTACAATGGTCCCTTTTTGCCACACCTTGCATTTGCATATGATTTGGAAATCTTATTATTAGATATTAAGAAAGAGCCGCGTCGCGAAAAGAGTCGGTGCGGAGAGCGTGTTCAGAGAGAGTGTAAGAGAGAGAGACCTTGAAGCACAAGCACTAATGAAATCCCTTCAGCAGAGGCGTCCTGTTTAATTTCACGGCCAAAGTTGAAGTCATTTAATTTTGTCGGGGGCAAAGCAGTTTGATGTGCTGTAAAAGTTGAGAGAGCAGGAGAAGTATTGTGGCGACCGTAACGTCTCTTCAAGACCGTAACATCTCTCCAAAAAATCAGTGCGTTACGTAACATCTCTCCGAGAACGGTTGCGGAAAACCAAACTGAATTAGGGAGCAACGGAAGACCGTGAGACCGAAGCCGGAGCAAGTCTGTGAAAGATATAAGAGTAAGGCGGCTACTGGAGTTTGGAGGTTTTGGGATCGAGTAAATGGTGTTGTGTTCGGAAGGAGTCGCGGCGGGCTGGACTAAAGGAAAGACAAGGAACTCTGTTTTATACGTAAGGTGAACTAAAAAGGGAGCAATTACTGTGTGTTCGAAGAAGATAATTTGTAATTATGTTGTAGACTAAGTAGTTCAAAAATTGCTGTGTATTTTTGTGTAAAAGAAGCAATATCTCATTAGTGTTTAGAAATTAGAATAATTATCAAAAGTAATATCGCATTAGTCTTTAGAAGTTATAATTATAATTATTAAAAACTGAATCATTGGATAATGCAATTCTAGCTTTTTGATTGGCTTAGCCGTTATGGTATATGAGCTATTATACCATGCTCTCCATATATGGTCGGTGTTCGCGTCAGTTTAAAATTGGAAGCTAGCTGAGATTTTTTTTCGCGAAGGATAGAATGGCGTCCGAAGCAAATCGTTTTGATTCATTTCTTACATTACTAGAAATGCAATTTCATCGAAAGAAAAAAGACGAAAACAAACAAAATAGCCACAAGAGCTTGTTTGAAAGTTTGTCGAAAAACACATGAAAACACATGGAACTAAAGTACCTTGACCAGCTACGAAAGAAGACAAGTGTTGTTTCTTCAATTCCTGATCACGAAGCCATTCGCCGATCGAGTCACTCGCCGATAGATAACTGCGGCTTGTTTATCCGACATCAAGAATATAAATCACAAGTAACCAGCTACAAATACAGGCTATGCAGCCATTCACTAGAGCAATCGAGGCGGCAGTATAGCTTCTTTTCTCGTTCAGCAAAACCATTTTGTGGCTTCAAACAACTTCATAACAAGAGACTGAGGTAATAGTTTTTCTCCGTTGTTCTTACTATTATAACTGCACCGAAAATCCAAATTCACAGTAATTTCGACGGCTGTCACTTAAAAATGCTTTTCCTTCACATTATCTGCCAGGTGTTTTAGCTGTTCTGCTGTGTAAAATCCTAGAATCCCGATGAGTTTTTAAAAAACTAATGTTTATCGCTACAATGTTTTGATTTTTCATTCATGCAGTCCAGGCGAATTCGTTCGCGCGTTGACAGTTTTGATAGACGTGTGACATGTGAATGGCGGAAGTCTCTTGTCTTTTTCGGTTTGTTCTAGTCGGGGAGATTCAACGAGAGTTTGTGGGCGTTTTTAATAAAACAATTATTCCACTCGCGCTTGTTAGATATGAGATGATTATAGCCAACTCGGCGCTACGCGCCTCGTTGGCTATCAATCATCTCATATCCAACGCGCCCTCGTGGAATAATTGTTAATTATCCCGTTTTAATTGTTTAGTGAAACGAGTATATAGAAACGCCTAGTTAATCCTAAAATCGTGGAGTTTTGGGAGTATTGTTTTAATAAACGCTTAGAGCATTATTGTTTTTTATATTTATATAAGTGTTTTCTTGAGTTTGTGTATGCTCTGTGTGATCCTTAAGGAGGACTTACTTTTGTGGCGGGTTTTGTCACACCGACCTTGGAGATAAAGTGAAGAAGATATACCACACAAATAATAAAAACCGACTTATGTACTTCAAGTCATCAAGGAATCTGAAATTGATCGTTTTTTTACAAACTTTGTTCTCGTAATCAGTTCTAAAACAAAACCACGACTACACAACTGAAACAAACTGCCGCTCTGGTACAATAAAGCAGCAATGAACTTGATTTTTCTCTGCACAGAAAAGAAGGATCAGCTAAAGTCAAGAAACGTAAACGTTCCTAAATATTATTTTGAGCCGAGTCTTTGCCCGGAGTCGCAGCTAGCATCTTCACTGAAAATTATTTTTTGCCATTTATTAGTTTTCCTGTCTCCACGGAGTCCCCTGTGGTGAACAGTTGATGTATTACAGCCAGAGGTCCGGCAGGGAAGCAAGCAATAAAGAAGCAATTTGGCTATGTTTTTAATTAACTTTTTGATAACCTGCGTGAAAGGCGAAAAAAGGGGAAGGGGTTGGGAGAGGGATTGTTAGAAAAGCGCTTGATCCCCCCACCCCCTATTCGACGCCGGCCAAGCAGGCTAGTCCATTTCCGAGTTGTCTCAAGCCTCTGTATCTATGCAAGGCTAACCGCTGTCAGGCGTCACCCGGATTGAGTTTAGGTTGCGTTCTCCTGACGTGGAACGCAATGATTCCGCACAGGATTGCCCGCAAGAAAAAATATATTTGTAAACATAACATTATCTCTTTCCCATATAGCAACAAAAAAACACCTGCTACCTTTGGTGTACAAAGTCAAAGAAACTGTTGCCCTGTAATTATAGTTATCCATTATATTTGCTTAATACAGAAAAACTAAACAAAAATGACTAAAAAAACACTCATAAACAAAAACTTTGAAGATCAGTATCTCATGACCTCTCAGAGAGTTTTTAGTCAATATAAGGTCATTTTCACTGTCCCGGAAAGTGCTATATGTGGGGAGTTAATCTGAATATTAATTTGTATGAATGTTTCAGTGGGCATTTATCTTAAGACTACCAGCTCTTCGTGGCCTTTCAATCAAGAAAACAGTTACCTTCTCCACGGCTCTAAAAACTCGCTAAAGTTTTATCGATGTCTGAATTTTTCAGACTAAGAGCGCTCTTTGTAGACACCGTTAACTAATACAAAACGGAAAAGAGAGAGTGAGAATGATGAAATTTTATAATTTCAGGCTTTATTTTTTGTCTACGATAATCGGTTGTCAGCGCTAAAATATGTTCCTCAGTATTGTCAAGATGGTTAATCGAATTCGTCTCATTTTCCAACAGTAAATCAGAGGATTTAACGTTGAATTAAGAAATAACAGAGTCGAACTGAATAGATCCAAAACGGTAGTGGAGCTCGATGGACCAGAGATAAGATAGACAATTAAAAAGCAGAAATTTGGCAAATAACAAACCAAAAACGCAAGATATACCATTAACATTCCGATTGCAAATTTTCTCCAGTCTGCAGTGTTTCTCGTTCCAGCTTCACCGTTCTGATTAGCCGTTGGTTGAACTTGCAAGGCTTGAATTTGGTTCACGTGATGACGTACTGATAAATAAATCTTGTAATTAATCGGCGTTGTTGTTAAGAGAAGAGAGAGAATAATAATAGCGTAAATTATATCGTTTCGGGATCCACAGTCTCAGAAACGACAAAACTGCACTGAAAACCCAAACCATGACAACAACAACACGCTCGTGGGTCACAAGTTCCTGGTATCTTAGATGTAGGTAAACAGCCAGGAATCTATGCAAACTCAAAAATGTTACTCCGAAGAAAGACGCATAACCAAACAAATTCACCGTGAAAACAAAGAATTTGTAGGCTATGTTATCGGCTGGATTGCTTTCAGTTTTGTGTTCCATTTCCATGACAAGAGTCGCAATGTACGAAGGCTGCACCGTCAAACCAACACCCAGATCAGAAACAGCCAGGCTTAAGAGCAGCGTTTTTAAAGGTCTTGGTAGTGATGAGAGTTTTGTTAAGGGGTAGATCGTTAAACAGTTCAGTGTAACAGCGGTGTAAGATAAGAAAGCGTTCAAAACGCAAGTGGTGATGTATGATGAGGTGATGTCTTCATTTTTCATCATTGCAAATGTTAAAGTACGCTGCCTCAAAAGAAAGGTTTCGTGGTCGCCGAAGATAGTTTGGTCAGTTGAAATAAAATTGGAAAAAAGTGAACGGGGAAGCTTAGCGAAACATTAAGCGTTGAAGAACACTTTGACTTGAACTGAAACTACTTCCCGCCTTCACTGCTTTTCTGTCAGGGTAAACATATTGAATATATATATATATATATATTATTAATAATCACAGGAGTTCAGGCTTCATCAGGAGTAATCATTGATCGTTTATTGCGACAGTGCTGTTTCGTATGGTCCGAAATTGCAGGACCACACTCATAGCTGTCCCTGGGAGAGAGTAGGATTCAGCAAATTCTGTGTTCTGATTGGCCAACAGTAAGCCATTAGAGCCTAGTTAAAAACTTATCGTTAATATATCGCTTTAATTATAACTGTCAATTATTTGAATAAGAAGTCTTGAAGGGTGTTCTAGATATTTCAATATCATAATGTTTTCACAAAACATAAAAGGTCTTTTCAAGGTTTGTTCTGTCGCACTTTGTAATAAACTTGAAATTGATAGTCGGAGGACAAGTAAACCCAACAACACGTTTCATCATAGACAACAACAACAACAACAAAAACAACAACAACAACAACAATAATAATAATACAAAAAGTGCAAATAGTTGCAAGGAAAGTTATTCCGTATCAGATGGGAAGATGAGAGCCTAAGCATAACCAGCTGCTTTGCATGGTTAAAAGGTTGGGCTACGGATTGACGCGCGACTTGTCAGCCACGAGAGGAAAGAAGTCTGCACACTTGAAATGAGCTGCCCATGGATTGAGAGTAGAGCCAAGAAAGGTGAAGAAAAGACACTTAGAGGGACGCGATCACGGTTATGCGCATGCGCGCCGTTTGTCTCTTCAGAATAAATTTGTCGGGTCAACACTAAATTCGAAATCGCCATTACCGGTACAATCATTGAAAATCCTTCGTTACATTCCGACATCCGTCGCTTTGGCTGGCCTAGTTATACTTCAGTAGTGGTGATTAACGTGTGGTTGTGTTGTTTGACTGGTTACGTTTTAAGAAGACGCAAAAAATAATGCTTTTATCATGGAGGTTCAGAAGAGCATCGTGGCCGTCCGGCAACAGGACGTTCTCAAGAGTCTTTGGAGATAGAGAAGCTTAGCCGATCGATCTGGTATGGTTCTAGGAGTAGTGTGTGGCTTACGAAAAGAATACACGACACTTGGAAAGTGGTTAAAGGCATGAGTTCGTTCAACTTTGATTTGATTTTGACTCCGACCTGTAGTTATACAGCAACAGGCCGCGTGATCTTCACCGATCTGGTACACTTGAAATGTTCCTTGTAATTTGCTTTACGATCGTATAATTATGTTTAAGAATTGATGCTTTAAAATAAATTATCGCCTGAATATTCTGTTTATAATCTAGTTTCTTTATGTGTTCCTACTCGATCGGAACTCTGACCCGATGCTACGCGAATGAATTTGTTCATTTGCTGATAAGCAATTGAAATTTATGCTCAATTAAGGATAATCTTTATATTCATACGTTGTGAAATTTACGTTGTGTGTTTTTGTCACCGGTCAGGCGCTATTTGTAGGTATTTCTGGGTTTATACAAGGCGAACTGAGGGAACAGTAATAAAATGTTTGTTTACACATTTTGTTTGCCGATCGGTGTCTGCTTTGTTAGCGTGGGTACGACCTCGTAAAAATACACGTTGGTAAATGCTTGTCTCAAAGCAGGGCAGGGCTGTAAATCTTATTCTTATCGGCTGCAACATATATCTGAGGAGTAGCAAAGAAAAAACTTGAATTATGGGGATATATGAAATCAAACCAAATGCCCCGAAATACTCTAGCGTCGCGAACGATGAATCTTGAGTGCATCTAACTCGCTTCCGATTGGTTTAAAAACAATCAGCTACTGTCAGAACTCACACATGCGCATTATCGTGAACCAGTCCCTTTACGTATGGGATGTGGGAGCTGAAGCAGAGATACAATGGTTACACACTGTAATTTTCAGGGAGTTATAATAACTCCTCTAGTGGGGCTAATTTAACTCCTTACAGTGGAGTTATTTTTCGTGGAGTTATTTTAACTCCAAAAAGGAGTTTAAAGAACTCTTTTTCAGGAGTAAAAGTGAACCCAGATATTGAGGAGTTAAAATAACCCCAAAAAAGGAGTTATCCTGTACCTAAAATTTTTACTCCACTTTCAGAGTTAAATTAACTCCAAAAAGAGTAAAAACAACCCCTGTAAGGAGTACAAGTAACCCCATTCCGGAGTAATGTTAACTCCAAGACTGGGAGTAAAAAGAACTCTTTTTCAGGAGTAAAAATGACCCCAAATTCGGAGTTAAATTAGGAGTTAAAATAACCCCAAAAAAGGGGTTATCCTGTACCTAAAATTTTTACTCCATTTTTGGAGTTATAATAACTCCCCAAAAATTACAGTGCAGGGTTGAACAGTACAATGTAATAATTGACGTACTGGGTGGTTACTCTAAACATCTACAAAAGTCGGTGAGGAAGCTACTAGGAGCGAGAGCACGGGGCGTACTTGAGTGGATGCAGAAGTCGGTCATCTCAGACACTTTGAACATTGCCAGAACATTAGCTAAAAGCACACGCATAATTCACCATAACCAGCTACTGATGACCAAATCTGTGCAGTCGCTCCAACAAGATATTGTGAGCAACCGTGTTGAATGCTGCGCTAAGATCCAACAGGACCATCAGGGTCGAGTGCTGCGAGTTCATTTTTAAGAGGACGTCGTTCATAACTTTGAGTAAGGCCGTTTCAGTGCTGTGATGTTGACGATAAGACGTTTGCAGATCAGGATAGATTACATTGACGACCCTGTGCTCGTGCGTTTGACTAAATACAGCCTTTACGGTGAGTTTAGAGATGTACTGCAGATTGCTGATTGGTCTACAAACTTTGAAAAACCAAGTCAAGTCCAAGCTTCTTCAGTAAAGGATGAACTAACGCACACTTCCATTGATCAGCAAATGAGCCCGTCTGTAGAGAGAGATTAATGACCTTGGTGATAACAGGCAACGGAATATCAATGCAGCCGACAACAAGAGGCGTAGGCATTGGGTCAAGCGAGCAGGATTTCTTAGGCGTGGCTTCAATGAGCTTTTGGACTTCCGACTCATTAATACTCTCAAACTATCCATAGGTTGCACAACAAGTGAGTCCGCTAAACACTTCTCACTGCCAGGCGACACTGTCGTAGCCATGTTATCAAGCTTTTTTTGTATGACCACAATCTTCTGAGCGAAAAAATCACCAAACTTATTATTTTATTAAGTACAACTTTGTCCTTAAAAGGAGGATATTGAGTATCTCGCTCCACGCCAAGCAGTCTATTCGTTACCGAGAAAAGTTTCTTCCGGTCGCCACTGCTGTCGTCAATGAGGTCTTTGTAAAACACCTTCCGTGCAACATTCAACAGGGTGTTTGATTGGTTTCTGAGATCCTTGAACGCTCGTAAATCGGCCGCCAGACCTGTGCGGCGCCATCTCCTCTCCGCCTTGCGCCTTTGTCTGCTCGTCACCTTTATATCATCATTGAACTATGGCAGCAGAGGCCGAGATGGGAACGTCCTGGTTACGAGTGGAGCATGACCGTCAAGAGCAGACGAAAGTTTAGCATTGTAGCGATCAACAAGCTCGCTAAGCGTGTCTGGAGGATTCCTGGATAATTCCGAGAAAGAAAGTTCATTAGACAGAGCTGCCAGGTTAACGCCCTTAGTTTTCTTAAATGTCACTGTCTTCCTAGTTACACTTGGTTTGCCGAGGTTTAACAAGCAAGTAACAGTCCAGTGATCGGGTATGTGACAGTCAGATACAAGCGTTTTCTTGACCAGGTTTTCACATTGCCGCGAGATGATCAATGTATGCCCAGACTCATGAGTAGGCTTAATAACGTGCTGTTGCAGACCCAGTGTTTCGAGTAGCTCAAGAAATTTCGCACGATAAGGATCCCGAACAACATCGACATGGATATTGAAGTCACCGGTTACCAGCAATGACTCCGAAGAAAGAACAATGGACCTCCAGATAGTCAGCAAACTCCTCAAAAAACACACCGGAATATCTTCTGCAAATACAAAGTCCTTGAACGTTTGCAATGATGGAGAATGAAGACATCACCTAATCATACAAACACCACTTCCGTTTTGAACGCTTTGTTATCTTACACCACTGATTTGCTAAACTGTTTGACGATCTACGCCTTAACAAAACTCTCATCATTACCAAGACCTTTAAAAACGCTGCTCTTAAGTCTGGCTGTTTCTGATCTGGGTGTTGGTTTGATGGTGCAGCCTTCGAACATTGCGACTCTTGCAAGGAAATGGACCAACAAACTGAAACTCTTGGATAGATTACTGGCTATTTACCTACGTCTAAGATACCAGGAACTTGTGAACCACAAACGAATTTCGTTTATAATCTACGCCATTAGTTTTCTCTCTCTTCTCTTAACAACAACACCGATTAACTATAATTAATTACAGAGCAACAGTTTCTGTGACTTTCCAACAGCATTATGATATGCTATTATTTTTATAATAACATTCCAAGGGAGCAAGTGTTTAAACTGTACTGTAAAGTGATTCCTTTATTTTTTAAATGAAAAAAAAGAGCAAACAACATGACATTCAGGCGTGACGATAAAATCGTTCGTTAGTTATTTTTCTCTTTTGTTAGGTAGTTGAATTGAAAGTAAAAATTCTGATCGGAATTTTGAAAGTAAAGACTTCCTCAGTGACGTGATATTTTAAACATACATAAGCCCGTAACAGAAAATAGAACACATATTTTATCAAAACGAGTTGTTTAATAGTTTCACTGTATGGTTTTTCTCGTGTTAAGTTTCTATTTCCTAAGTTAGGAAGGGGAAAGAAAAGTGTATTTGTTCCCTTAGAACCAGGAGTATTGAATAACGTGTTATTTTCAAGACAAATTAAAAATGCAACGCTAAATTCGAGAGGTTCCTAAAGCAACTTGCCTGTTTTATGATTATAGCCGAATTGGAGCAAAACGTGAGCTCATTCGTCAGGTTGTTCAGTTTTCTCGGCAAGAAACTTGTGGTTGTGAGTTGAGATCTAGAATCACATCAGTAATATATAACAGATTTAGCATATCTCTTTGTCATGTTTACAGTTATGATATTTATTCTTGCGGGCAATTGGCCAATTTCACATTGACCATAATGCACCTTGTTTCAAACCTCCAACACCCACCCCGCCCCCCTCCTCAAAAAAAGAAATTTGCAAAACCATTGTTTCCAGTTTCTTCTGGGTGTTACAAGTCGTCCCAAGAGAAATCGAAGACAATGGTTATGTATTTTTTTTTGGGAGGGGGGAGGGGGTAAGCAAGGGGCGGTGTGGTCTATAACGTGAAAATGGGGAATACCGAGCGGTATAAATGCGTTCGACGTCAGGAGAAGGCAACCTAAATTTAACCAGCACGAAGCATGGGCACGAACATTTTGAACAAAGAAAGTCGACTTTTATGCTTGAGTCAAGTATCGGAAACGGAAATTTATCACTGACTTTTCGCTCCCCGAGAGTCCTCCGTTTGCTTAAGATTACGAGCGCTTCAGGGAAAAAAATGTTTTCACAGAGAACATCTTTTCAAATGACAAGAGAGGTGAGATAATGAACATGATAACATCAAGAAATTGTTTCCATTTGCCATAATTTCAAAGAAAGAGAACATATATGGAACATGAACTTTTTGTCTAACGCTAACTATCTTTCTTGATAATGTTCATAAAACTAGGAGTAATCGGAGCTTAGAAGAATGCGTTCGATATGTTTGTAAAGCGCACAGGTAGCAGTTGAGGAGGAAGGGTGGATGGTTATTGCGATAGATTAAGCCCGGTTTCCATATGATCGCTACGATAACTGTGATAGCTGAGAAAAAAAGTTCAGCGCGCGATCATATGGAAACCACTCTCCAGTGATTGCAGCGACAACGATCGCTGAGATAGAACTTTTCATATCTCAGCGACTGTTGTTGTCGCTGCGATCGCTGGAGAGTGGTTTCATATGATCGCTATGATCGCTGAAGTTTCTTTTTTCTCAGCGATCGCAGCGATCACACCGATGGTAGCGATCATATGGAAACCGGGCTATAATTTGATCATGGCATATTTTAAACGTAAGGATCGCTTACAGTGAAACCTCTATTTAAACTGTGTATCATTATGGGCCCGTCTCAATAAGTGCAGTAGTTTTGTCGAGTGTGCTGATTTCAGTGACTTGAGAGGAGCTACTGTGGGCTGTTTATGAGTTTTTCCGAATAAATAACATAGACCTAAAATGTTCTTTTGTCTGGTGCCGAAAATATCACAAGTCATGATGAAAAAGGCGCCGCCGAGCTTCACATCTCGGTAGATTTACTTTGTGGCACAACGGCCGCCGAGCTACACAACTCGGTAGATTTAATTACTTTGTGGTACAACGGCCGCCGAAACTTTTAAAAGATGAACGTTTTGAAAGATTCAGCAAACACAGATCGATAGTAGACCTTCAGCAAACTCTTGAAATATGTACGTTTTACGAAGATTCAGCAAACTTTTAAAAGATGAACGCCTTACCAAAGCAGAATAAAAGACCTCAGCAAACGCTTGAGGACACACGAATCACCACGTGAGTTAGTTCGTCAAAGTGAGGCAAAACGTAAGCAAGCGCCTCAAGGCGAGGCAAATGTGTGTCGACGACGACGACAAATGGAATCTCGAAAAAACCTCCCTTATTAATTGCACAAGGAACCCAATAATGCACAAAACACCCAACACAAATTAGGGGTTGCGTTCTCGTACCTCAAACGCAATTATTAACGTCAACGAACATTTATTCAGCTGATTAATATGCTGGAAATTTTTCTTTATTCTCTCGAATGATTGCCATTTCCACTAAGTCGAAAATTTATTAGCCTTATTGAAAGCCTCTCCCTAGGTAAAAGTCTTTATTGACCATATGAACATTAAAATGTTAGCTAATTTTTCTGCAATGAATACACGTCATTTTATTGACTGAATTTTTGACGCTAATAAAATACTTAATTCTTGGTATAAATGAAGCGCAAAAGGTTGCAGATATTAGAAAATCTCTTTTATAACGACAACTCGAAAAAATTCATGCTTAGTGAAACCGATAGGCTGTGAATAAAGAAACACAAATTTGAGCAAGTTTAATTTATAGCCTGAAATTCAGCTATCTCCTCGAGTAACAAACTCCCGAGAGCCAAACACTTCGTCGGCTCTGAAGTTTGTAACCTGCGATCAGGCGTTTTTTTGTCTCGGGGACTGAAAGGGGAAACTATAATCCCAGGTTATGAAGTTTACGACTCTAGAAGACGGCTGAAATTCGGACCAGCGAGTACAGGGATATTTGAACTCGAACTCGTCATGAATTTTAAACGTTCCTGTTATTGCAGATAAAGTGAACAAACTATAACACAAATAATAATAATAAAAAAAACACTTATCCACTTCAAACGATCCAGAAATCTAAAACTTGCTCGTTTTAATCTTTGTTCTCGTGATCAGCAGTTCAACTTCCTCAACTGACACCGAACGACAAAACCAAGGAGAGGTTTCTTTTACAGGTTACATTCTACAGGTCACAGTTTTATTCGTAGGTAACTGAATCAAATAGTTTCCCCTCGATCACAAACATTATTTTGGATAGGGTTTAGGGCAAGGAGACACTTCTGGTGCTGTTTATCTATCTGCAGTTTTGACCTGTAAAATATGCCTGCCGCAAAACCACGCCACTGACGTACACACACTCGCGGTGACAGACACCCATGATCATTACAATCAAATTTATATCAAAGGCCGAAACATTCAAAGTAATTCTTCAAAGAGCGATGTTTCAAAAACCAGTGACGTGACATCTGTGACTTTTGCTGCTTGTGCTTACAATTTAAAGAGTGGTCAAAATATCGAACCTAAACTATCTACTATCAGTTGGAGACATTCAGGTTTGATAAAACTGGTGGCTGTGAACACAGAGACGCAAATATTAACAAGTATACGGGAATATTTAATTTTGATATATTTTCTCCTCTGTCAACTTTGAATTTATCGTTACTCTTACTTGAATGGAAATATATGAAATGACTTACATTTTCATTACCCTTACTTTAGATGAAGTGAAGAGATCTTTTCAAATAAACCATAAAAACACTTACATACTTTAAATACTGATCTAGGAGATGCTGAGCACTAATCGATTTGATAAACTTCCTTCTCAGGTACACACTCCCTTTAAAAATATTTTTGTAGGGAACTGCAAAACCGTGACTACAAATCATACTGTACGTGGCTGTCGAATCTTGACAAAAACGTTAGAAAAGAGCGGCAATTTCAAAATAAAGAAGATCAAAACAGACTTAAGTATGTAAACAGTTTTTTAAATTGTGATTCTCAGGTAAGGAGTTCTACAAGGTTTGGTTCATTAACGGTCTTACCTTTTTCTTTCCTCAGCATAGTAAGTATCCGTCTAAGCAGATGAAAAACAGCTGTACTTTACAACTACGAATTTAGAAAAGATCAACAAAACTTTTATTTTCGAATGAAACCAGTCACCAACTAATTATAATAATAGTATTCATTGATTTCTATTGCGCAAATCAGAAAAATTTTCATCTGCGCATAAATTATAACATAAATTCCTCCAAATCCTACTAATTACAAATCAAAATTAAAAAAGCTACATTTAAATAAAGTATAATACATTCCTAGTACACATCCTAATTCTAAAAATTCTAAAAACAATTACTAATTATTCCTTAAAATCCTATTTGCAAATCCTATTCAACAGTTTAGAGAAAAAAAAAATAGCCAGAAAACCCCTAGTCTGCTACACGGCCGTTTCTAGTGTCGTCACGCAACGGAATGAGGGGCTAGGCCATATATTGTCTTTCCCCTCTACAAAATTTTGTCTAGAGAAGGACTGACACTGATTACAATCTCGTCGCCTGGGCTTTTCCCTTTTCCCTTGTATTGAGGTTGGCAATACAGTTGAAT